CACCCCCAACCCCCCGTTGCTCATCCCCCCACCTCCCACCATTGGGGCTGGGGGGGGACACACAGGGTGACACTGAGCTGGGGATGGACATGGGTGTGGACGTGGGGATGGACATGGGGATGGACACAGGGATGGACACAGGGATGGACATGGGAATGGACATGGGGATGGACGTGGGAATGGACATGGGGATGGACACGGGGATGGACATGGGGATGGACACAGGGCTGTGGCACCCGGGTGTGTGGCACAGGGGCTGGCAGAGGGACATCACTGCAAAGTCCCCTCTGTGTGTGTGTGTGTGTCCCGGTACCTCCTGTCCCCTGTGCCCCCCTGGCACTGCCCACGCCAGCCCGAGAACCTGCTCCTGGCCAGCAAGTGCAAAGGGGCAGCGGTGAAGTTGGCCGACTTCGGCCTCGCCATCGAGGTCCAGGGGGATCAGCAGGCCTGGTTCGGTGAGTGCCACCGCCTCCCCGTGCCCGCCAACGCCCTGGCGGCCCCCCCTGCCCCCCCCGTCCCTGCCCTGGGCACGCCGCATCCCCTCCTGCCCACCGTCTCCCTGTCCTGTGACCACCATGTCCCTGGCGCCCATGCCTGGCCCGTGCCCACCGCAGCGCTGCCCTGCGGCCCACCATGTCCCTGTCCCATGCCCACCATGCCCCTGCCTGTCCCTGCCCTGTGCCCACCAAGTCCCCCCATGCCCACCGCGTCCCTGCCCTGTACCCAGGACATCCCAGCACATCCCTGTCCTGTGCCCACCATGTCCCCATGGTGGCCCACCATGCCCACCATGTCCCTGCCTGTCCCTGCCCTGTGCACACCACATCTCCCTGTGCCCACTATGTCCCTGCCTTGTGCCCACCACATCCCTGCCCTGTGCCCAGCATATCCCTGTCCCCTGCCCACCCTGTCCCATGCCCACTCTATCTGTGCAGTGTGCCCACCATGCCCCCCATGTCCACTCTGTCCCTGTCCCTGCCCCATGCCCACTGCGTCCTTGCAGTGTGCCCAGCCACATCCCTTCGTGCCTCCCATGTCCCTGCCCTGTACCCAGGACATCCCAGCACATCGCTGTCCTGTGCCCACCGTGTCCCTACCCTGTGCCCATGGTGGCCCACCATGCCCACCATGTCCCTGCCTGTCCCTGCCCTGTGCCCACCACGTCCTGCCCTGTGCCCACCCTGTCCCTGTCCCTGTCCCCGTCCCTGTCCCTGTCTCCGTCCCTGTCCCTGCGCCGTGCCCACCGCGGCTCAGCTGCTCTCCGTCCCAGGCTTCGCGGGCACACCCGGCTACCTCTCCCCCGAAGTCCTGCGCAAAGAGGCCTATGGCAAACCCGTGGACATCTGGGCATGCGGTAAGCGTCTGTCCCGGCCTCACCCCGGCTTCACCCCCTTCCCAGCCCCTTCCCGGTCCCATCCCCGTCCCCATCCCACTCCCGCCCTCTCCCTTTCCTGGCTCCATCCTAGTCCCATCCCAGTCTCATCCTGATGCCCACCCCAGTTCCATGCTGGTCCCATCCCAGTTCCTGTCCCAGCCCTATCCTAGTCCTCAACTGTGTCCCAACCCTGTCCCCATCCTGGTGCTGTCCTCTTCTTCATCCTGGTCTCATCCTTGTCCCCATCCTGGTGCTGTCCCCTTCTTCCTGGTCCCCATCCTGGTCCCATCCTGTCCCCATCCTGGTGCTGTCCCCTTTATCCTGGTCCCATGCCTGTCCCCATCCCTGTCCCCATCCTGGTGCTGTCCCCTTCTCCATCCCGCTCCCTGTCCTGATCCCATCCTGTCCCCATCCTGGTGCTGTCCCCTTCTCCTTCCTGGTCCCCATCCTGGTTCCACCCCTCTCCCCATCCTGGTGCTGTCCCCTTCTCCATCCCGCTCCCTGTCCTGATCCCATCCCGGTGCTGTCCCCTTTATCCTGGTTCCATCCTAGTCCCCATCCTTGTCCCACCCTGTCCCCACCCTGTCCCCATCCCGTGGCCATCCCCGGCTGTGTGCCCTGGCCGGGTGGGTGGGTGCGTGCCACTGTGGGAGACAGTGCCACCTGGAAGCACTGGGGAGGCTGGCACAGGGACAGGCCATCCTGGGGACCCTGCTGGCAGGGCTGGAGGGAGCCATAGGGAGGCCGGGTGTTCCCATGTCGAGTGTCCCCCCCGGCCCTGACCTGGCTCTCCCTCGCCCAGGTGTCATCCTGTACATCTTGCTGGTGGGCTACCCGCCGTTTTGGGACGAGGACCAGCATAAACTCTACCAACAGATCAAGGCCGGTGCCTACGACGTAAGTCCCCAGTGCCAGGCACCCCTTGTGCTTGCAGCCAGCCAGCCCGTTCACTCTGGAACCTACTGAGGGACACAACAATTAATCACCACCAGGCATAGCCGGGGAGATGGCTTTGGGCCACGTCTCTGGTGGCTGGTTGGGGACACATGGGGAGGTGGAGGGACTCAGGTGCCATGGGGCTGCCCCCTCCTCAGCTGTCATCCTGCCATGTCCCCGTGTCCCCCTGCAGTTCCCTTCACCCGAGTGGGACACGGTCACCCCCGAAGCAAAAAACCTCATCAACCAGATGCTCACCATCAACCCCGCCAAGCGCATCACAGCCCACGAAGCCCTCAAGCACCCGTGGGTCTGCGTAAGTGCTGCCGTTCCCCACCCCACAGCTGGCGTCCCCCCTGGTGTGTGTGTGTCCCCAGGGTGCGGTGGCCACCGATGCCTCCACTGACCCCTTTGTCCCCCCTGCAGCAACGCTCCACCGTGGCCTCCATGATGCACAGGCAGGAGACAGTAGAGTGTCTGAAAAAGTTCAACGCCCGGAGGAAGCTCAAGGTGAGGTCTTCTCCAGGGAGGAGGGTGGGCTGAACCTGGCCCTGTCCCCCCACCCCCCACCCCGGGCTCAGCACCACCCTGCCCATCCCCGGGGCTTTGCCATGGGGCACAGTCCCACCTTGGCCATGCGCGGTGGGGTACGGGTCGCATCCTGGCAGCATCCGGTGGAGCGCAGTCCTGTCCCAGTCACCCCATGGTGCCATCCTGGCCATGGCCGGTGCTTCCCTTCCTGGCGTGGTCCCATCCTGGCAGCACTCCGGCGCTTTCCCATGGGGCACGGGGACATCCCAGTGGTGCCATGGTCTCGTCCCAGCCATGCCCGGTGTGGCACAGTGTCCTCCCGACCATGCCCGGTGCTTTGCCACAGTCCATGGTCCCATCCCGGTGGTACCCAGGGCAGCACGGTCCCATCCTGCCCCTGCCCGGTGTGTCACCCTTGCGCCATGGTCACATCCTGGCCGTGCCTGGCATGTCACACCGTGACACAGCCCCGTCCTGCACCCCCTGTCCCATAGCCCCCTCCCAGGGCCCGATCCTCCACCTGCCTTCCCAGGGCCCGATCCTGCAGCCCGCGTCCCATCACCCCTTCCCATGGGCCCGATCCTGCACCCCCATCCCATTGCACCCTCCCTGCGCCAGATCCTGCATCCCCCGTCCCGTCACCCTGTCCCAGGGCCCGATCCTGCACCCCCCGTCCCATCTCCCCCTCTCAGGACCCGATCCCGCAC